CATTGTTGATGAAGCCTTTCATTCTCCAATCTCTGATTCACCAAATTTGATCTCTCTTTGTCTCTCTCTCTCTCTCCCGAGGTTTCAATCATTTAGAACAGAATTCGAAGATGTTGAAACTGATTTAGAACTGCTGTGCAGTTTGAAAACGTGGGAGTAGTGGAATTGATTGGTTTGAATTTATCATGTTTCCCTTAACTACAAATTGATATTAGTGTAAAAATAATATAATTATTTAAGAAGTTATGGCCATTTTAGGAAAAATGGAAAAAAAAATTTCTAAGAGAGGCTTCAGGCACTTTAATTTTGTCAATTTCATCCGCAAACTATAAAATGTAAGATGAAATGGTCCCAGCGCTCAAACCACCTAAATTGTATAAATAGAGTGAAGAGTATTTTTGAAACCTACGATAAAAAAAAATTAAAAATTAAAAGATTTGAGACTAAAATATAACAAAATAGAAACCAAAATGTAAATTATATACGTGTTTTTTGATTTTCATGAGTTTTCATGTAAAATTACAAAAAAATTTCCCACTACCGTTGATCAATTAAGACAGTGTAAGTAATAATAACATGAGAATCAAATCAACAAAATTAAAATATTAAGAATTGAGGTACAACAAAACACATATTTTAAGGACCATTAGTGTAATTAGTCACAAAAAAAAAGAAAAAGAAAAAAGTTACCTCCATCTGGTCAATGTCACGGCTGACCAAGAATGAGTAAGCTTTGAGATGCTCAGTGGCTTCCTTCTTTTTGCTAGGAGAGGTACTAATAATTGTAACTTTAACCCCAAAAGCCTTTGCAAATTTCACGACCATGTGACCAAGACCACCTAGTCTAGCCACACCCACATGTATACAGGTTTTTCTAGTCCAAAGTACTTCAATGGGCTTTTTGCGTCTATTTTTTTGCGACCATGTATTTAACCGTAGCAAAAAAAAATACTATTTTCCAAGTCTAGTTTATGTATGTGCTTTATTTCACTTATTTTCTTTTATTCATACTAGCAGTTGGGCACACGCGATGCGTGTGCAAACTCATTTGGAAACTCAATTGATAAAAATTTTAACACATCCTCATTCAATTTGTTTTTTTTTTTTAATTTATAGATTCAATTGCATAATTTCTTTTTCTAAATTTAATATGATATATATACACACATTCTTATATATTTCTGCATTATCTCAAATTAAATAAAAATATACTCACGAAGATAACATATATAAAAAATCTATACAATTCTTTTTAATGTTTCTAATCACTAATTCAGTACCCAACCAGACAAGCAACCCAAATTTTAAGAATTTGACAATTATTTTACATTTCATTCACAAAGCTTCACAAAGCAACCTAAATAGCATATCAAATTGTTCAGTAGTATCATATCAAATTGAATAAACATCAAAACAATTATACCTCATCACGACTTCTGGGCCAGGGAATTGGGGCTCTGTAACCCTTAGGTGCCGGAACCAAGCAATTCAAGCCCTTACCTTCTTCGGGACAATGCCGCTCGAATCTCTCACCTTTATCCGTCGAATTCAAACGCCGAATCGCCTCTGTATTGTCCAAACACGGTATATACTCCCTCATACTCTTCGTACAAAGCCCAAACTTCTTAACAACAACCCTAGACCCACCACAACCTTCTTCCACCACCTCCGCTTCGATATCATTGCCCCAATTATCCACAACACCCGAGTCAAAGTCTCCGACCTCAAAATCATCTGCTATCGTTCTATTCTCGTCCACGATCCTGAACCTCTCGTGTGGCGGCGGAGGAAGTGGTTTTGGATGGGATGTGGGTGGAATTAAAGGTAGGGTTGGGTTGGAGAGGGGTTGGGTTTGGGTAGTGTTGTTGATGAGGCAGTTGAAATCGAAGGTTTTGTTCAAATTGTGGGAGAGAGAGACGGTGGAAGGGGTTTTGGAAGAGGAGAGCGGGGTTTGGCGAGAGTTGAAGAAGATGAGTTGGTGAGAACCATCGGACCAGTGCTTGCCCAAGTAGAAGAAAACGAGTGATATGAAAATGAGACTTGAGATCTTTAGGAATCTTGATGATTTTATGAAATCTCCATTGTTGATGAAGCCTTTCATTCTCCAATCTCTGATTCACCAGATTTGATCTCTTTTTGTCTCTCTCTCTCTCCCGAGGTTTCAATCATTCAGAACAGAATTCGAAGATGTTGAAACTGATTTAGAACTGCTGTGCAGTTTGAAAACGTGGGAGTAATGGAATTGATTGGTTTGAATTTATCATGTTACCCTTAACTACAAATTGATATTAGTGTAAAAATAATATAATTATTTAAGAAGTTACGGCCATTTTAGGAAAAATGGAAAAAAAAATTCTAAGAGAGGCTTTAGGCACTTTAATTTCGTCAATTTCATCCGCAAACTACAAAATGTAAGATGAAATGGTCCTAACGCTCAAACCACCTAAATTGTATAAAGAGAGTGAACAGTATTTTTGAAACCTACGATAAAAAAAAAATTAAAAATTAAAGGATTTGAGACTAAAATGTAACAAAACCGAAACCAAAATGTAAATTATATACGTGTTTTTTGATTTTCATGAGTTTTCATGCAAAATTACAAAAAAATTCCCAACCCCAGTTGATCAATTAAGACGGTGTAAGTAATAATAACATGAGAATCAAATCAACAAAATTAAAATATTAAGAATTGAGGTACAACAAAACACATATTTTAAGGACCATTAGTGTAATTAGTCACAAAAAAAAAAAGAAGAAAAAAGTTACCTCCATCTGGTCAATGTCACGGCTGACCAAGAATGAGTAACTTCGAGATGCTTGGTGGCTTCCTTCTTTTTGCTAGTAGAGGTACTAATAACTGTAACTTTAACCCCGAGAGCCTTTGCAAATTCCACAGCCATGTGACCAAGACCACCTAGTCCAGCTACACCCACATGCATACAGGTTTTTCTAGTCCTAAGCACTTCAATGGGCTTTGTGCGTCTATTTTTTTGCGACCGTCTATTTAACCGTAGCAAAAAAAATACTATTTTCCAAGTCTAGTTTATGTATGTGCTTTATTTCACTTATTTTCTTTTATTCATATTAGCAGCCGGGCACACGTGATGCGTGTTCAAACTCATTTGGAAACTCAATTGATAAAAATTTTAATACATCCTCATTCAATTTGTTTTTTTTTTTAATTTATATATTCAATTGCATAATTTTTTTTTTTCTAAATTTAATATGATATATATACACACATTCTTATATATTTCTGCATTATCTCAAATTAAATAAAAATATACTCATAAAGATAATATATATAAAAAATCTATACAATTCTTTTTAATGTTTCTAATCACTAATTCAGTACCCAACCAAACAAGCAACCCAAATTTTAAGAATTTGACAATTATTTTACATTTCATTCACAAAGCTTCACAAAGCAACCTAAATAGCATATCAAATTGCTTAGTAGTATCGTATCAAATTGAATAAGCATCAAAACAATTGTACCTCATCATGACTTCTGGGCCAGGGGATTGGGGCTCTGCAATCCTTGGGTGTCGGAACCAAGCAATTCAAGCCGTTACCTTCTTCGGGACAATGCCGCTCGAATCTCTCACCTTTTTTCGTCGAATTAAAATGCCGAATCGCCTCGGTATTGTCCAAACACGGTATATACTCTCTCATACTGTCCGTACAAAGCCCAAACTTCTTAACAACAACCCTAGACCCACCACAACCATCTTTCACCACCTCCGCTTCGATATCACTGCCCCAATTATCCACAACACCCGAGTCAAAGTCTCCGACCTCAAAATCATCCGCCATCGTTCCGTTCTCGTCCACGATCCCGAACCTCTCGTGTGGCGGCGGAAGAAGTGGTTTTGGATGGGATGTAGGTGGAATTGAAGGTAGGGTTGGATCGGAGAGGGGTTGGGTTTGGGTAGTGTTGTTGATGAAGGAGTTGAGATCGAAGGTATTGTTCAAATTGGGGGAGAGAGAGATGGTGGAAGGGGTTTTGGAAGAGGAGAGAGGGGTTTGGCGAGAGTTGAAGAAGATGAGTTAGTGAGAACCATTGGACCAGTGCTTGGCCAAGTAGAAAAAAACGAGTGATATGAAAATGAGACCTGAGGTCTTTAGAAATGTTGATGATTTTATGAAATCTCCATTGTTGATGAAGCCTTTCATTCTCCAATCTCTGATTCACCAGATCTAATCTCTCTCTCTCTCTCTCTCCCGAGGTTTCAATCGTTCAAAACAGAATTTGAAGATGTTGAAACTGACTCATTTGGCAAGTGCTTATTTTAGCCTAAAAGTCAAAAAGTTACTAAAAAAATAAAAAAATCTATAACCTATATAAAAAAGTTAAAGATTCTTTTTTCTTTACTTTTTACACATCTTTTCGTAAAAAATAAAAAAGTCATTCTAAACATACTAGTTTTTTTTACCTCATATTTTAGTCAAAAAGGTACTAAAATAGCCTGTTTTCAAACGAGGCCTGATTTAGAACTGCTGTGCAGTTTGGAAACGTGGGGTAGTGGAATTGATTGGTTTGAATTTATCATGTTACCCTTAACTACAAATTGATATTAGTATAAAAATAATATAATTATTTAAGAAGTTATGACCATTTAAGGCCAAGTTTGACAAGTTTAAAAAAAGTTCAAAAGTTTAAAAGTTACTCAAAAAGTTGAAAAGTTATCACTATTCACCAAAAGTCAAAAATTACGACTGCACAACTTCTAATCTTAATTTTTTCCTACACACTAATTTATATAATTTTTTAATACACATTTTTTTATTATTATAAAAAGTCAAAAAATTAACACAAAGTTCCTTAAGAGAAATGGAAAAAAAATTGTAAGGGAGGTTTGTGGACACCAAAGTTCCTATTGGGTTTTGGGTAGATTTGCCCTAGTCAGCCTTGCTCAAACTCACGACATCCCTCTGTTTCTCTAGCTCGCCCAAACACAGGTATGAACCACTCTCTCTCTCTCTCTCTCTCTCTCTCTCTCTCTCTCTCTCTCTGTATATATATTTGCTAGGGTTTAGATCGATACATTCATCTGCCCTTCGCGATTTCTATTCTTCAATTTATGTTCTTTGCGATTTCTTCTCATGATCGATGCCTTCAATATCATTGAAACTCTTTTCTTAAAAAGTTGAAAAGTTATCACTATTCATCAAAAGTCAAAAATTACGACTGCACAACTTCCAATCTTAATTTTTTCCTACACACTAATTTATACAATTTTTTAATACACATTTCTTTTATAAAAAGTTAAAAAATTAACCCAAATATCTATATTTTTTTTCTTAATTTTTTAATTTAAAAAAATAAAATGTATATTTATTTAGGACACCCCCAAACAAGTCATAACACCAAAGTTCCTATTGGGTTTTGGGTAGATTTGCCCTAGTCAGCCTTGCTCAAACTCACGACATGCCTCTGTTTCTCTAGCTCGCCCAAACACAGGTATGAACCACTCTCTCTCTCTCTCTCTCTCTGTATATATATTTGCTAGGGTTTAGATCGCTGCCCTTCGCGATTTCTATTCTTCAATTTAGGTTCTTTGCGATTTCTTCTCATGATCGATGCCTTCAATATCATTGAAACTCTTTTCTTCGTGATTTCTTCAATGGTACATGATTTCTGTTTTTCGCTATTTCATTTCATGTAGTTTCAATTTCCAGCAGATAATCGTTCTGTTCGCACTCTCTTCTTCTCTTCGATCATTGTGTTTCCTCTTTCTATCTACTTCTTATATTTCCATTGTTGTTCATCGAGGCCATTTTTATATTTCAATTCTTGATAATTTTTATCGTGATTTCTGAGCATCAATACTTTTTTCAACATATGCAAAAATTGCTACATATATAGGTCAATGGTGATATATATAGAATTGTGGACCTTTGATTAATTTCATTGATATACCTATAGTTGTTGCTGTGGATTGCAATTGAATTCCTTTAGATTGTGTTTTATTGAGTGATTCTCTGAGAGCAGTGGATTTGGGCCAAGGTTTTCCCCTTCTCTCTTTTATTCTTCTTCTGATTCGGGTATAATTTGCAAAGAATCAATTATAATTTTCGTTCTGCTAAGCTTTCTGATTTCAGTACAGTATACAACATGAATGTATGTTTTGATTTCATTATAATTTTGTATATGTTGATTACAATTTCAATCTGTGTAGTGCTTTTCATTACAAGTTAGATTTGAATTTGATTTTCTCTGAGATTAAACATTTTCAAAGTTCCCTGTATGTTTCATAATCTTTGTGATGTTAATTGATTGTGATTTGAATTGTAAGGTTAGCCTTTGGAGAAGCAACAAGAGCAGATCCAGAATATTTATTAATTTGATATTGACAACTTGATGGTTGTGCTATGCTTTAGGTTTTTCAAAGTTTTTCTCTAAAGCACTTTGAACTACTACTATTTACAATCTAGTCCCTAAAAGTTATTAATAAATCTGCTATAGATAAGCTTGGATATGGTCAAACTACCTATGTATCATTATATCTTCCTCTTCTCATCACATCATTCTTATTCATGCAATTGCTCTTGATGATCGGATGTGTAGCTAGAGAAGGAAATATAGAGAGTATGCTTTTAGTTGAAATGGGCTTGAAGGAGCTTGTTTCATGTGGATTTTCATTTCATGTTTTTAGGTTATTCATTTCATGTGGATTTTCATTTCATGTTTTTAGGTTACTCTTTAAATTTAGATTTATTCTTTTGGAGAACTCAGTAGTGAGAAAACATGTTGTCACTATAGTGGGTGGATGAAATTTCCATTTTGAGCGTAATGTATTGAGGCCTATGATTGCAAATGCTCTTCTACATGTAAGTCCAGTTAGCATTTTATAGATATAATTTGGAAAAGGCATATGATATATCAGACATGTAATTTAAGAACCTAGGTTCCTTTTAGGAGGTACAAATGATGCTAGTGCATATGATAATTAGCCATAGCTACCATGTGAAAAAATATGTATATCCTTGTTGAAGTTTGATATTCTCTTATGTGCTTTAATTGGTGCTATGTTCATCACTGCAATTGAGTACATTGTGCCCTTTTCTTGACTTTTGTGTTATACTTGAAAACGAATTGAAAATCGTTAAATTCTTTGTACCCTTTTCTTGACTTCAAATGTAATTGGAATGCTTGTGTATAGTACAAAATGATATCCTAGTTAATGGACCTAGTTTGGCTGTGGCAACCCCCAGAACTGTAATAATCCATGATAGTATGAATTAACTGAGAAAATAATGTTATATTCTTCCTAGATTTCAAGAATCCCATGCATTAAAAAAATAACTAAAAAAGAGTATAATAGATGAGCAGAATTTGTTTAATGTGAACTCATAAAATGTTAAATTACTGGTGCATACAAATGAGATCAAGTGATAAATAGATACAAAATAGGTCAAGACTTTTGAGGGAAATTAGTGAAATTACTGATAAGATTACAGATGATATTGCTGACGACGGAGATTGTACTTTATTGTTGTTATGGTTGTTGCAACTGAATTATCCTCAACTTCCTCTAGAAGTATGTAGTCAGGGTCTTCAAGATTGTCTAGATCTTCTGGTAACTCAGTGTCAACCCAAGAAGACCAGTTCATTTCACTATCCATGCCCACATCCCACAACTCTTTATTTCTTTGCTTGCCATAAAACTGCTCAGTGAGATTCTCATTTAGTTTTAGTAGCATCTGGTAGTTTAACAGTTCATAATCCCTGCATAATATTCAAGCCATAATTATGGGAATTAAGATCCGTGAATGCATTCTTTATAACCCAAAGTACATCTGATTCTACATACCTGTATGTACAAATAGCTAGAAGCTGGATTGATGCAAGAACCACAGCGAGTGACCTAACCACACTTATTATCCAAGCCTGTTGTTCAATATCATCCGGTGCATACCTTATTGTTGCAAATTCTATCAAGAACGTGACACAAAGCCCAAAAAATGAAAATACCCAAAACCAATAGTTCTAATTTATTTAAATTTAAGAAAAATAGAAAAAATAGAAATCAGTAACCTGGATGTGATACCTATATAAAGCCTGGGTCTCGCAGCATAGGTTTGCTTTGTACTAGTGAACATGTAGAGGATGAAGATTGAGATAGAGCTTTAATAAATCGGGATTCAAGCAGCATGGCATTGTGCAAGGCGAAGAGCTTATCTAAGGCCACAAACATGCTTGCTTGCTTGCTTTGATTCAAAAGCTTCCTGTAAGTAGACATGGAGGTTTCGATAGAAAAAAACCTCTTTTTTAAGTAATATGCACTAGTAATTGAGGTATTTGAATGTAAGAATAAGTGGTTTATAGAAACAACAACCAGAGCTGCCAATATTGTTTTTGAACTTTCAACCAAATGATCATGGGCTTGTTGAAGCAGTTCTTGTCTTCTAAGAAGCTCCTCTTCTTGTCTATTCCTAAGTTCAGCAAATTCTTGCAGAGTACCCCTGTAAATACCGAAAAGAAAATAAAATTTTCATAGGGAGGACCTTGATGGAACTTTTTTGAATTTGATGTTCTTTTTTTTTTTTGTTTTACCTGTTCTCTTCTAGAGCCTGCAACTGAAATTTAGTTAGTGATTGAAGACCCTCAAAAGCCAATGATTGCCCATCTAGAACTTGCTTTTGCTTCTCCAACGAAAATTGCAGCTTGAATAGCATTTTTTAAAGCCTAAAATTAAAGATAGTTTTGCCAAATTTGTCTTCAAATAAATGGTTTGGTGCTATTATTTTCAGATCTTATATGGTAGATTTGTTTCAAAATATTCGTTGCTAGAAGCTATTATTGTACTATTTATAAAATATTATTGAAATTTATTTGCAACAGTAACAAGATGGTTGCTAATACATTGTAAGCATTTTTTTTTTTTTTGCGACGGCAAAACATCAGTCACCATAAGTAGGTTAGGCGGTCGCTAATAGTTAGCGATTGCTGTTTTGCGTACGCAAAAAGTATTTGCCACTCCCATATTTGTGACCTCCATTTGCCGTCACAAAAAGTCTTTTGCTACTGTATTTCTAGTATTTGCGACGGCTTGTAATGGTCGCAAAAAATACTTTTTTTAGTAGTGTAGGTTATAAATTTCCTTTATAAACTTATTGGATTAGAACACCTCTAAATGAGATTTATCAATAAAAAACCTAAAGAAAAAATGTAGTAAGTTATTTTTTTCTTTTTTTTTTGGGGGGGGTCCTTGTGATGGGTTGTATTTTTTGGATGAAGAGGTTTCTACAAACAAACAAACAAATGGCGCCGCTTGTGATCAAAGACGACAAATTGGGTGCGAGACAGCCTCACTTCTTTAAGGTGTTTCTTCCTCATGTCAACTCTGAATGTCTGGTAATCATATATATTCATACCGCTCTGCTATTAATTTTTTTAGGTTGAGATTTATTCTGTATTAATATAATTTTAATTTTTATGTTCATTAACTAGTGCTTTTCAATGTCTTGTATTGATATAGATGTTCAAATTTCAATCATAGAAGCTATGATATTTGCAGCCCTTTTATGCTTTTTAGCCTTTTCGTTTTTTGTTTTTCGTTTTGTGCTTTTGCTTTTGACATAAATTGGACAATGGATCATAAATTTGTTATGATCATTCGAATTCTGCTTTAAATTTGTCATAATCTGTTATTTTTACATGACTTATACTCAAAACCTTTATAGAGATCTTGAGTGTCCCATCTTTTATAGCTTTCAACCATGTTATGTTTTGTTTTGTTTTCACATTTGCATAATTTGTATTTAAGATTGAAATTTTAAGTGTCATTTTTTTTCTTTTTCTTTTTCTTTTTCCTTTTTCTTCGCAATCTTGTTCAATGAAATGTTTGATGGACCAACCTTCTGTTAGTTTATGGCCATTGAGTTGTTGACTAAAATTCATTACTTTCATTGAAGCATGTTCCTTCAGGATTTGTTGAACACTTGGAAGGCAAGACATCAGGGTCAGTTTTCTTGACTGGTCCAAGTGGGAATACTTGGCAAGTTAATTTTATTCAGAAAAAAGATGGTCTATTTTTTCACGAAGGATGGTCTGCATTTGCGAAAGATCACTTTGCAGAATACGGAGATTTCTTTGTTTTCAAATACAACGGTGATTTTGATTTCATTGTGATGGTGTTCGACAAAAGTGCATGTGAGAAAGAAGCTGCATTTCATGCAAAATGTACTCAAGACATTAGTAACTTCGTTAAAAATAAGGGAAAGAAGATAGTGAAATTGCAAGAAAATGCTTCACACGAACCTTTTGAAGGTGTGCCAAAGAGCAGGACGAACACTCAGTCAAAAGCTACATACAGAAAGAATGGTAATGGCTTGAGCTATATAGTCCTTTTTTTTTTTTTTTTTTTTTTTTTTTTTGGAATCTTGTGAATTAGGAAAAATGAAGAATAAATTAAGGTGAATAATAGAAAATCATGAGAAATAGTTTGAGCAAAAAGTGACAATTATAGACATCAATTTTATGTATTTATTTATTTGAAACAGAGGACGGTGGACACGAATTGTCAATGTGGGAAGGAACTCATGAGAAAAAAGCTACTCACCGCCCTTTTTTTGTTAGCCGTATGACGAAGGGCAATGTTAAGCAAGTATTTATTTTGGTGAGTTTATTCTACTTTTTTTTTTTTTTTTTTGAGATTTATGGAGTATTGCTTTGCATTTTAATTTGTTTTTGTTTTCTTAGATTGGATTATGGATCACCTTCCATTTATTGTATGTAGAGGTTAAGATGAATTCCATAAAAAGATTATAAAACTTGTCAAAACAGAACACTTGAAAGTTGAGCGCAAGAAAGTGGCGTAAAGCGAATATATGATGGTAATAAATTAATTTACATTTTGGAGTATATTCAGAATTTATAATCACTACATGAATCCGTTGGAATAATTTAGTAGGTAGTAAAAAAAAATGAGTTTCGCTTATTAACAACCTGGCTTCGACTCATGAATAATCTTGACCTTGTTAAAGACATCAATTAATCTTGACTAGGGTTACTCTGGTAGAGCAGAGATTTATATTTGGATTTTGAGTGTATATGCGTGTTACAGGACTGAATAGGCAACATACTTCTCTATTTTTCCGTTAGATGTTCCAAAACTTTATTGGCCCCATTTTAGTCTCATGCATTGGGACTGCCCTTTACGTCAGCAAATATAAAGTTCAATGGGCCTTTTTGAAATTACATTGTTTTTGTTTATGAAAACATGAAAAATGAAAACAGAACAGGTGGTTTGTTCCATTTTTACTTTGTCCTACTGTTAAACTGCACTTAATTTATTAAGTGATTATTGCTGATGCAGTACCTCCCGCCTTCATTTGTAATGGAACATTTTCCAAGGTACGAAAACAGGCAAATCATTCTCCGTAATCAAGAAGGTAATCAATGGATTGTCAAGCTTGTTCGTCGAGCCACTTGTGGTTCTTTTTGTGCGGGCTGGCCTGCCTTTGTTCGTGATAACCGTGTTAAAGAAGGAGACATGTGCAGATTCGAACTAGTGAGCGAATTCGAAATGCTTGTACACATTGCCAGAGAGAACAGAGAAAGTCAACAAGTGGATGCATAAAGTGCTTAAAACAACACAATTCAGTAGTTTTTTGGTTCTACAGAGTGAAATTTTATGGTTTTGATTCTATATCTAGGCTTCTTGCAAAGCACTTTTTCGGTTTCTATTTATTTAAATTATATTTTATTTTTATTTTTTGGGTTAGTGCCTCTTTTTGCAAGGTGGTGCATTTGCTTTTGTACTGTGAGGATAATAATATGTTGGGTCTTTTTTAAGTGTTTAGTATTGTTTCACTGCCTTAAAATTGTAATTAATCATTTTTTTCTTCTTATGTAATGTTTATTTTTGAAACAATCTGAAGATTTTAAGTTGTGATTGATTTACAATCTCCGGTGCTAGAAGACTGGAAATTAATCACAATTCACACATTTTATATCAAAACAAATTCCGAAAATCAATCAACAAAGATAATTTAGTTTGTCAGTCATATAAAATTTTAACTGGGAGGTTAGGAGTTTCTTTTTATTAATTAAAGGCAAAGATCGATTATTTATTTTTCATTTTGGGTTATTCATTGTTTTTAGTTGATTATTTTTTTCATTAGCTATTTCTTGTGATGATTGTTGAACTACAAGATATGTGTTTTTGGATCTTGGTCGTGTGGTTTGTTTTTCCATTATGGTTATCTCTCTTGTTGATTATTGAGCTTGTAGATGTGGTGTTGGATTATTATTGTTCATTTTAAATAAAAATATAGGGGTAAAAAAATGATTTCATATTTTTCGTTAGGTCTGTTCTTCTCCATTAGTCAAAGGCAGGTAGGTATCTATGAATATGTGATTAGTTTTTTACACCAAAAAAAAAAAAAAAAAAAAGAAGAAAAAAGAAGAAAAAAGAATATATTTGAAATAGAAAAGATATTTTCTTTTATCTTATTTTAAATTTTCAACACAAAGCAATTTGAGTCTGTGCTAAACATTGGAGCTTTCTACAATTATACATATGACATTTTTTTTTGTTGAATTCATTACTCATAACACACATTATTAACCCATTGAACATCATCATTTAACACATCAACCTTTGAATGAAGACTCTCTCAGAAGATACACAATTTAACTTGCAAAACAGTTGGCTTTGACACATCCTCAAAGGAACAAAAGTTCAATTATTATTAGACAGAAGGGCCTCTTTTTAGGTAGCATATAATGTGTCACCGATGTCAATCACAAATATAAATTATATACGTATTTTTTTGATTTTCATGAGTTTTCATGTAAAATTACAAAAAAAATACCCAGCTTCCGTTGATCAATTAAGACGGTGTAAGTAATAATAACTTGAGAATCAAATCAACAAAATTAAAATATTAAGGATTGAAGTACAACAAAATGCATATTTTAAGGACCATCAGTGTAATTGGTCCCAAAAAAAAAGAAAGAAGTTACCTCCATCTAGTCAACGTCACGGCTGACCAAGAATGAGTCAGCTCCGAGATGTTCAATGACTTCCTTCTTTTTGCTAGGAGAGGTACTAATAACTGTAATTTAACCCCAAAAGCCTTTGCAACTTTCACGACCATGTGACCAAGACCACCTAGTCCAACCACACCCACATCCACATGCATACCAGGTTTGTCTAGTCCAAAGTACTTCAATGGCTATTATAGACTGTGATCCCAGCACACAGGACAGGAGCACCAGCATCAAGTACGCACTTCTTTTTGCATCTATTTTTTTACGACCGTCTATTTAACCGTTTTTACTATTTTCCAAGTCTAGTTTATGTATGTGCTTTAACCTTTTGCACCTTGCTGCCAACCTTTGTCACTATGCCTACAATCTCATGGCTGCAATGTGGAATTCAATGGGATTGATATTGGTTTGTATACTGTGCATTTCAACTACTAGTGTGAGAAATTGAAATAATGTCTATTTTTAGGTTCTATTTGTTTCAATAAAATAATAATAATAATAATAATAAAAAAAGAGCTAGTTTTTGGCCGTTTGGTTTCAGCCCATTTACTTGACAATTCAGAGGGAAAAACTTGTTACACAAAATTTACCCGATTTGGTAAGGAAAAATTAGTAAAACATCTCTTTTCAACTTTGGATAGTAGGAGAGATCCAATATTTATTTATTTATTTATTTTTATTGGCTAAGATCCTTCAATAAAATTTCTTTGTGATCATATTAGATAAATTCAAAATATCAGAGAAAGTTTTCTATAAAAATTAAAATTTTTTGTGTCGAATTTTTTTGTGTGAAAATATTGAGAGACTCCAACTACTATAAAAATATTACATGTCCTTTATCTTTTATCTTATAAAATCTTAATATTATAAAAAAAAAAAAATTCCCCATTTGGTAACTAGTAAAACCAAAAAAAAAAAAAAAAATAGTTGTCTTTAGTGATTTATTTTAAGACTTTTTCAAGTAAAAAACATTCAAAAAAAGTTCATTAAAGAAAAAAATTGCGCAACCCCACTTAAACTTTTTGAAAAACAAATAAATAATTTTTTTAACATTTGTCAAGCCCAACAACTTTATCATAAAAATTTTAAAATAAAAATAAAACTACTAAAAAAGTATTTGTCTCTCCATCTCTTTGGAAACTCTCCTTGCGATGGGTTGATGTGCGCTCTGGGTGAAGGGTGAAACTTGTGTTGAGTGGAATTTACAAACAGAGATAATAGAAGAAAGTGAAATTAAATATATCAGCAAGGAAAGTCAACAAAATAATGCAGATAATAAAGGAAAATTAAAAAAAAAAAAAAAAAAACTACTAGGTGCATAGAAATAAATATATACAATTCAAAAAAATACACAAAAAGTGCACTGTATAATTAAGATGTTGGAAAATGTATCTTGCATAGATTTTCTAAAAGTTTTTTTTTCTTTTGAACTGATTTTCTAAAAGTTCGATGACATAAATATCTCCAACATCATGCATTGTGTATTCATATGTGCATTGTGTATTCATATGTGCGTGAGAGAGAGAGAGAGAGAGGAGGGTGCAATTAAACATACATGGGGACAAGAGGATATATCGACATGCCCCATTCATCCTTGAGGAAGTGAAGGTCGGAATGACAAATTCCACAATACAATACTTTAAATGTCACGTCATATTCTCCATTTTCTCTGAAATATCAATTCAAATGGCACATAAATATATAAGAGGAATTATAAAGTAACGAGAAGATTATAAAATAATTATAAATTTATAAAAATGTAAGTAGAGCCTATATTATGGTACAAATAATATCACATTTCATTTGAATCAAAACACAAATTCATTTACATTCTATATTTTTGTATTTATTTTCCCCCCACTAATTCACAGTTCTCCTTTAAATATAGGGATTGATATTTCAGAACATTTATAACTAATAGAAACGAAAAGGAGAAAAGAAAAAATATTAAAATCTTTGCATGAATAGTAGAATTTTGGGTGAGGATGCATGTCATGGTTTTAAATAACAGTATTATCAGTTTGAGCGATATATTATCATACCGATAAATAACAGTATTTTAAATTTAAAATTTTAATACGTAATGACTGATAGTTAAATACCATCGAGAGAAATTGAAGGGAGAGAGGACCCCAGATGTATCTCTGCCTGCCCATCCGAAAGCCTTCACTGGGTGTTCTTCCTCTGGTGTTTTTCCCATTTTTTTTGTTTTTTTTGTTTTCAAAAACTATAAAGCAAAAATACACAAAGCACAGAGAGAGGAAAATGTTTTTGAGGAGTGAAAGTTGGATGATAGGGTTTGCCAAGGATCCCTGTCCCCAAATATTCCTGTCCCTTGTCTCAAATCACCCCCAACCTCTTGAGAATTCTTGCTAGATGAGGTTTATATGGCAGTAGTGAAGGAAGGAACCAGATCCTCTGAGGTTGGGGTTTAGTGACGTAATCGATGAGCACTAATAATATAATCGCAAATGTTGACTTTTGCTTGTCTGCTGAAATTACTACTTTTCTCTCCATCCAACCAATGGCGGAGGGAGCATTTGGCCCATGCGCCCAGCAGGGGCACATAAAATTTATGTTTTAATATGGATTAATAAATTATTTTGCACTTTGTTCCTTTTAAATTTGAATATACACTCATATATTTTTTTAAATTTTTTAATAGTTCTATAATTTGTATTATTCAAATATCTATTTGGTAACGTTTACGTTTTCAGTTTATATTTACAAAAATTTTATAAACTGGTTTTTGTTTATCTTTTGAAAAACATAAACTACAAACGCGTTTGGTAATTGACAAAATATTTAAAAAATTTTAAAAATATAAAAAGAAGTGAGAAATGGCAAGTAGTGGAAAGTGGCGGCGGAAGACGGTGGTGGAAATGGTGACGGTAGGTAGTGGGTAGCGGGTGGTGGTGGATGGGTAGTGGGTGGTTTGGGTGGGTGATGGTGACGAGTGGTGGGTGGTAGCGAGTGGGTGGTGGTGGTGGTGGCGGCGGGTGGTGGGGGGTGGGTGATAGTGGAGGTGGGGTGGGGGGGTGTGGGTGGTAAGGTGGTGGCGGTGGGTGGGGATGGTGGTGGAGGGGGTTTGGATGGCGGGTGGTGGTGGGGTGGTTGGCAGATTTAAGTGGCGGGTGGTGATGGTACGAGATGGGGTGGGTGAGGTAGCGTATGGGTGGTGTGTGGTGGTGATGTGAGTGGGTGGGTGACAGTAGCACGGGTGGTGAGGTGGTACAAGTGTTGTTTTTTTGTTTTTCGGTGGTGGTGGTAGTCGGCAGGGTGGTTCGGGGTGGTGATCGGTACGGTGGGTTGGGTGTGGGTGACGGTGGTGGGCGGTGCAAGTGGGCGGTGGCGGTGGCGTGGTGTGGAGGGTGGTAGCGGGTGGTGGCAGGGTGGTGGCGGTTTGGTCGATGGTGGGTGGTGATGGTGGTGGTGGGATGTGGCAAGTGGGTGACGGATGGGCGGTGGATGGGTGGCGGGTAGGTGGTGGCGGGGTGGTGGAGTGGGTGGGTGCGGTCGGGGGTAGTGGGGGTAGCGAGCGGTGTGGTTGGTGGGTGGGGGTGGTGGTGGTGGAATGTGGTAGGTGACTAGATGGAGGCGGGTTGGTGGTGGGTGTGGTGGCAGGTAAGGGTTGGTGGTTATGGTGGGGGTGGAGTGGGGTGAAGTGGTGGCGGGTGGTAGCGGATGTGGGTGGTGGGATGTTAGCAGGTGGACGGTGGCGGGTGGGTGGGTCGGTTTGCTATGGTGGGTGGTTTGGTGGTGGGCGCGGTGGATGGTGGCAGTGGTCGATTGATTGAGTGGTGGGGCGGGGGTAGGTATGAGTAGTGTGGGTGGCGGTGCAATGGATGAAGTGGCGGGGGATCAAGTGGGTAGTGGTGGTGGCCGTGGGTTAGGTGGCAGTT